GAAAAAAACAATTAAAAAGAAAAAAGAATAAAAAGGTTGTAAGAGGAGAAAGAGATAATAATAACCCTAATCTTTGCTTCTCAAATTAAATGTTAAATTTAGCTCTGAGCGTCTCGTCTGTCTTTGTGACTTGAAAGGAAAACAAATACAGTTCTCACTGGGGAATAAAGCAGCAAACCATTTCATCAGGCGAGACAGATGTGTGTATGTTACTAAATTCTGAAAAATGCAGAAATATTCATCAGAATCAGGTCATGCAAGGGGCGCCTGGGTGGCGCAGTTGGTTAAGCATCCGACTTCAGCCAGGTCACGATCTCGCGGTCCGTGAGTTCGAGCCCCGCGTCGGGCTCTGGGCTGATGGCTCGGAGCCTGGAGCCTGTTTCCGATTCTGTGTCTCCCTCTCTCTCTGCCCCTCCCCCGTTCATGCTCTGTCTCTCTCTGTCCCAAAATAAACGTTGAAAAAAAAATTAAAAAAAAAAAAAAGAATCAGGTCATGCAAATTAACATGCATCCAGGGATTTAAAAATGTTGTTGGATTTAAAAGAAATTAATCAACTCATACATATTTCACTTATGTTTATGAAAGAACTAAATCAGTGTGATTGTGTCTGGGTGTGAAGTATTTATTCATCTAGCTTCTAAGAGTAGTGCATAAAGAACACTACTTTAAATGGCACTGTTGGTGAGTATATTAGTAGCCACCATCCTTAAAAGAATAGAATATTGCCAGTCTCCTGTGGACTCCCCCATGACAACTTTTATATTGTCATTTTTATATTAGTCATAATATATTATTATGACTAATATTTTATATTAGTCATTATTTCTCTTTCAGATTTTATCACCTATGTATGTATCCCTAAGCTGTATATATATACATATGTATGTATGTATGTATTTGAAAAGTTGAGAAGTTGGGGCGCCTGGGTGGCGCAGTCGGTTAAGCGTCCGACTTCAACCAGGTCACGATCTCACGGTCCGTGAGTTCGAGCCCCGCGTCAGGCTCTGGGCTGATGGCTCAGAGCCTGGAGCCTGTTTCCGATTCTGTGTCTCCCTCTCTCTCTGCCCCTCGCCTGTTCATGCTCTGTCTCTCTCTGTCCCAAAAATAAATAAACGTTGAAAAAAAAATTTAAAAAAAAAAAAAAAAAAAGTTGAGAAGCAAGTAGCGTAATGTATCATTAGATGAAGGCTCCTAGAGGTGCAGAATCTCTGGGTGGTAGTCTGACCTTGGTGTCCCAGAACATTGACCAGATCTGTTTCTGGGGAAGTTAGTGGGCAAGTTCATACATAAATGAGTCCTAAAAAAACCACAGTCCAGCGCTCACCATAGTCAGGGCATCTGGCTGGAGTCTGCAGATTCTGGCTTTCTGGTGGGAATATGTTTTCTCCTAAATTCACCTTGAACACCCCCCTCCCACGTTTCAGGAGTAGATCAAAACAGAGTACTTATGGTAGATAAATGAGTGTCATCAGCTGGCCTGCAGGAATTTTATCAGAACGTGTTCAAGAAGCCAAGTGCAGATTAGAATCTGTGCCAGGGTTCACCTGGACATTCTGTTCTTGGCTCCAAAAGATAGTTTGTTTAGGAATAAGGAATTTGGTGATACAGCTTTCAAAGAGTCTTTATTCTGAGTTACCCATCCCCAATTTGGACTGGACACCTTCTCTGTCTTGTGCATGACTGTCATCCTCAGATCTTCGTTCATGATCTTCTTGGAGATTCCCTGGACCTCTCACCTATGTGGGAGCTCTCATTTCCCATGTTTCATCTCCATTAGTCTTTGTTTTAGGAAGGCCATTTTCTAATAGTTTCTTGAAAAAAGATTGTATGGGAGGTACCTTTGAGATCTTGCATGTATGATAATGTTATTCTGTTATCCTTGATAAAGTGACTGGATAAATAATTTTCTTGAGAACTTTGTAGGCATTGTTGTGTTTCATCTTACTTCTGGTATTGCTCTTGAGATGTTTCTACTGAGAAGTCCAAAGCCAATCTCATTTTTAATCCTTTGTGACCTGCTCCTCTACCTTCTCTAGAAGTTTTGTAGAATGTCCTTTTGTCTTCTCTGTCCTGAACGTGACAGTGCTGTGCCTTGGTGAGCATGTTTTCATCCATTATCCTAGCTTTCAGCAGGCCCTGTTAACGTGGAGTGTCCTGTTCACCAAGTTTGGAGGAAAAATTTTAAAAATTCTTTTGTTGTTGGTTTCTTCCCCTTCAATTCCTCACTACTCTCTTTTTAGCACTCATATGATTTGCATATGGGACCTCCTGTTTGGTCCTCTAATGCTTTCTTTTTCTCCAGCCCTTTATCTTCTTGACTTTGGCGGGGGGGGTTCCTCTGTTTTATTTTTCAACTCTGAGTTTTTAATTTTTGCTCAACGTTGTATGTGGTCAACTTCCAATAGCTCGTTTACTCTCAATGTTTCCTCACGTTTTTGTTTACTAGATGCAGTATTTTTTTTTAATCTGATATGTTTAAGATAGTTTTCTTCTTCCTGAATAGTTTGTTTCCTTCAAGTTTATTTTTTTTTCTGTTTTAGTCTCTAATGTTATGTTACAGACTTTTCTCAGATGTCTCTTTATCTGCTTACAGTGAAAAATAGGGGACTTAAAAAGCCATTGAGGAACTTGTACGTAGGTGAGGCTTACATGAACTTTGGGCTTCACTATAGGATGATCCAAGTGGACTGTTTATTAGGGTACCCCCGGTGCTTCTATATTGTTTTTCCTCAATGTCTGCTCAGATCCCCAGAGAAGTGCGCCCCAGTAGTCTGCCTAGAGCGGTGCTATTCAGTACAGTAGCCACTTGCCACATCCAATGAATAACTCCTCAGCTGAATTAGCTACATACAGCTATTGGCTATCATACTGGACAGCACAGCTACTGAACATTTCCATCACTGCATGAGGTTTTATTGGAGAGCACTGGACTAGGACTAAACTCTTGTTCCCAGCCACCTGAAAGCCCAGTGAGGAAAGATGGTCTGGGTCTCAGCTTTAGGATTCTCTATGTGTAGGGTTACTTAATCCCACTGTGTGTCCCCTAATCTAGAAGCCCAGTTTTACCTTCTTTAGAGAAGATGGGCTTAAACAATATGCTTAACTCTTTCTTACTTTTATTACTCATTATTTATTTTTTTTGTCTTTAAATCTTTCTTATACCACCAGTTCCAAACTCTCCACTGTGTTTTCTGGGAGTGCCCCTGGGTATAGATAGGCTCTTTAGTGCACCTCTGTCAGTATTAACAGTGCTGGGGAACCAAGTCCCTTAGTTCTGTACCTGCAAATACCACTGATATTACTGATACCTTACTTTTGAGGCTCTTGTTTTGATTAGATGAGAATGTTTGTAAAGTGCCTATTTTAAGACATGCTTGACTCATCAAGGTATATAGTAAGGTCCTTTTAAAACCTCAAATTTACAAATCCACTGTGTATCTAACTTGCCCTACCAAGTGCTTAGGAGGTAACTGAGACAGAATAAAGGGCCATTGAGATTAGGATACTGGACAGTTGACCAGATTATTACTACCTAAATGATTTGTTTTTTGACACCAGCCTCGGAGTAGTCAAATTTGGGAGTTTCAGCAAAATTTCGAATTATTTACCTATTATGGATCTTTTCATTGCTTATGAATAGTTCAGTATGTAGGTGTTAAATATGTAACGACCAGGAGCCTTCTGTAAAGTGCCTGGCAAATATTAGGTGCTCAAAAGGTAGGCCTTTCAGAGTTTCCCCAACTTCCTCATCTGTAAGCATCCAGATGAAGTGATGTGGTCACGATATCAGGCTTTTGCGTGGTGGAGCTGGAGCAGATGGTCCCAGACCTTGATACCAGCATCTGTCTATGCTGGGATTTTTGCTGACAAGTTCCATGTGCTGTCAGTTTTGAAGGGAAGAGAAGCTGTTTGCTCTTAAGGCTTTTAACAAAACCAATCTATTTACTCATTGAGTCGACACTTATATATGCACCCTTACCACTTATCCCAAAACATGAGTCATAGGCCCTAGGTTTTTTTCTTACCCATGGTGACATGCTACAGGTGGTATTTCTTGGCTGTCCTGGCCTGGGTGTGTGCAGTTTGTCCCTGGGACCTGTGCTCTTGTGATTTCTTGCAGCTCCCCAATGGGTACACTATACCTAATTGAAATCTCATGAGTTACAGTTCCCTGCTTAAGCCATGCTGTTTTGTATTTCTGTGACTCTGCATTTTTTGTTTTACTGCCTGGAATAATCTCTCCCACCCCCAGCCTCATATCCTCCAAGAGTCCAGTGCCTTCTTTAATCCCTTTTAGTACAGTCATCCTGCCTTACCTTGAACTATCCTTAACACATGTTGCATGCTCTGTTATACCTTCTATTGTAGCATGTATCCCATTGAATTGCACTTATTTCTTAGTATACCTAGTAGAATATGAGAACAATGCTACTGCACATTTTAGTTGTTAGGTGATTACATAAGGACATTTTATGAAGGAAAAGAGGTTTCCTTCCTGAGCGAGAAGCTGTAGGTATCTGGTCTGTGGATTTGTTTGCCTATCCCCCGCCCCATTTGGGTTGCTTCCAGTTTTTGGCAAGTATGAATGAAGCTGCTATAAACAATTGTGTACAGGTTTTTGTGTCATCATAAGTTTTCATTTGTCCTGTATATTTGCTAGTAGAATTGCTGGGTTACATGGTAAGCATATATACTATTTTGCATTGCCACCAGCAGTGTGTGCGAGTTCTTAATGTTTTGCATCCTCACCAGTACTTGGTATTGCCAGGTCCCCCCCCCCCCCCATTTTAGCTATTCTAAATAAGCGTGTAGCTGTCATAACTGTTAACCGTGTTTGTCTGTGAAACCTGTGAGACTTGGAAGAAGACCGGATGGCACTGGATTAAATGCAGAGCCAGGGAGAAGTTCGTGAGGAGGAGATAGGCCATGATTGATGAGAGCTTGGTATGACTGTCATACTCACTGTGGTATCCCCAAGTGACTAGCACAGAGCCTGGCACACAGTAGGATCTCTTTGTATGCTTATTATTGAACAAATGATTGAGAAGTTAGGGAAAAGACAGGAGCAGGACAGAAAAGTAATTTTAGATGAGACTTGGCCTGAATAACCCCTGTATGTTCATGGGACACATCCTTTTCTACTTGAGTCTGTATTTACATACGTGTTTAGAAGCTGACTCGGGCCTCTCATTCCCGGCCACTCGGCGAGAAGGACGTAGTATAATATCATGAAAGAAGTAGAAGGCAGAAAGGCTTGATGCTTCCAGCTGGTCTGGGGACATGGGAAAGTCATCGGAACTCTTCTGGTCCTCCGCTTCATTACTGTAAAATGAGATGTTATTAGGTGATATCTAAGAGAAGAAATATACGGAGTTAAAAGAGTTTAATCACATCAAATGAGAAATAGTTTACTAAGTGAGGAAGAGGTATGTCTTAAGTATACAGTATAGAGTCCCGTTCTTAAGTGTCTAAACAGAGCCAGCTAATGGCTAATTGGCAGAAACAGCAAAAAAGGGAGTTACAGGGTTTCAGATAGAGGAGCAGCACTGCAGATGGTCTTTTTCTTTTTCCTGTGTAAAAAAAGCTTAAATCTAAAGACTCGATAAAAGCTGCCAAGAGTGTCATCTTTCAGTGTGAAGAGGAGAACCTAGGCCTCACCAAGCAAAGCTGAGGGTGTGGAGGAACACACACACACCTTTCTGGGCCCTGGGTGAGCAAAGTGGTCACTGCAGTTCAGTGGTTTTTCTCTGTACCCTCAGTCCCTCACCCGACTTCTACTTAGAAGTTCAGATCTAGAGTTCAGAAAAAAACAGTTCTTACTCATTCTCTTTGTACTTGGAAGGATTTTGTATACACACCGTCAAGTATTGGTAGAGATTTAAAAACATACTCTGTACCCAGATAAAGTCGAATCTGTGTTGTTAAGGGATTTGACCTGTTTTATTGTCTGACATTTATTAAAGCACTTTGACATTTGAAATTTTGTTTCCTGTTCTGAATATTTAAAAAGAATCACAGGTCTTGATCACTGGAATACCTTTTGTAAAATGAAAAATTTAAGGCCATTATTGTTTTCAGAATTTTAATGATTCCAACAGTTGTATTATCCTGAGGCAAAACATATTGTTGCTCTAATATAGGTTAGGTTATAAAATCAAATGTTTGATTATTCATTTTAAACTGTGTTTCCAACAGTTTCTTTTAAAATGTCAATATTAAGTGTTTTTGGTTATGAGGAACCTGTAAGTAATCTTTTGGCAAATAAAGTGAGGAATCTGACTTCTCTTTATTCTTTCAGCTCATAAAGAAAAAGCCAGTTTAAGAACAGTTGCCCAGAGACCTTACTTTCAGGTTCTAGTGTGAAGAATTAACATTAAAAAAAAAATTATTTATTTTGAGAGAGAGCAAAGGAGAGAATCCCAAGCAGATTCTGTGCTGTCAGCACAGAGCCTGACATGGGGCTCTATTCCATGAGCCATGAGCCATGACCATGACCTGAGCCAAAATGAAGAGTCACGCTCAACTGAGTGAGCCACCCAGGAGCCCCAGCATTTCTAGGTTTAAAAAAAAAAATTTAGTGCACTCTATAAGATTGTCAACGCTTTTAGGCATGATTACCCTTGGGAAACTGTTCTGTAATTCTTGGCCCATTAAGTCGACTTTTTATAGTAGGATATAAAAAAACCTCTGGAATATTTTAAGAGTTTGTATTGGGTAACTCATACATGTTTATGTTAATACTAATAACTAGATTTAAAAAAACCAAAGGCGCTTCTTAAATAATATAGCTTTGGGGTGGGGGGAGGAATCAGACACTTACTCTGCTGAGAGTATTCATTTCTAATGTACTGGAAATTTGTTAGACCTGTAGGACATATAAGAGGGTCACCTTTATGGTATTCAAGCTTTTAAATTCTTTACCAGAGCCTTTTCTGTGGCCTTGTAATTTAAGATTATTTTATGCATTCTCAGTTTGGGCAGTTTATATGTATAGTAACAAAATATATTCTTTTTTTTTTCTTTACATATCTTTCAGAATCATGGTGTCATGGAAAGGGATTTACTTCATACTCACTCTGTTTTGGGGAAGCTTTTTTGGAAGCATATTCATGCTGGGTCCCTTTTTACCTTTGATGTTTGTAAACCCATCTTGGTATCGCTGGATCAACAACCGCCTCGTGGCAACTTGGCTCACACTACCTGTGGTAAGCTAGAGTCAGAGTTACTCGAATGTTACCCTTTGATAACGTGATAAGCATGTGAATCCTTTCTGTTTCATAAGAGGTACGTTAGCATTTAGAGGAAATACAGAAACTAGAGAACATGAAATATAATTCGTGTCCTTGAAGTAATATCTAAGAGCCATATTCCAAATGAAGAGTTTTCTTTTATATTCCTCATGAAGTTTATTTCCTTCATTGATGTATACTTTACATGTTGCAAAATGCACAAATCTAAAGATATAGTTAATGATGTAAAAATTCTTCAATTTCCCTTTATTTTACGAATAATGACAATTTAAGATTGAGATGAAACTGTTGTTTTGAACTTTTGACATTGATGTGATTGATTTAATTCTTCCCAGTAACCACAGAATTTAGGAATAAAGTGATTTCCTGACTGTGGGCTAGAATGAGAACATCTGTAAATGTAAGTGCGTACAAAATGTGTAGTAGATTCTTGGAACAGACAGGTGTTTTCTGCAACGTCAGTGCATACAGCTCTGAGCACATTTCCCTGTGATTCTGAGCTGGCCCAGACTCCTGCCTTGTCTGGATTAAAGCTGCTTCAGCCCTTCCCTGTTGCTGCTAACCCACAGTGCCTTCCCCAGGAATGGAGGGGCACCCATGTAGCTGCCTTTACCTTGAATAGGTTGTTTCCTGAGACTGTTCTGTTGTTTCTTTTTCCTGAGCAACAGCTGAAACTTCATGTTCCTGGGTTTACTGACCAGTCATGGTAGAGGTGATGGGGACATACCCGACAAGGAAAACAGGGAGGGAATCCTTTTCCTTCAAGTGTTGAAGGGTCTTTCTTCACCCTGTGTCCTTTGAAATGCTGTTGCCTAGTTGCCCTCAGGCGGACGGCCGAGGTTCCATTTGCAGAGAAGAAGGTAGACTAATGCTGCGGACTCCTCCCCTGGAGGCTGAGGAGTTGTTTACAGTGCACCCTTTTCATATTTTAGAAAGGATTCTTCTGGTGAATAATTTTAAGAATTGCATTTGTGCCTTGTCAAAGGTTATTTTGTTAAAAAAATTTATTCAGATATGTTTTATGAAATGTGGTATCGTTAAACTAAAAGTAGTCCCCCATCTCTCTCTGTCCCTCCTCCCTTTCCTCTTCCCCGTTTCTTTTCTCTATTTGAACTTAATCTACAGGCACAAAGAAAGGGACTTAGAGTGTACTGGTAGACGATAAATAACTGGTTCCGGATTAAGGAGAGGAATGACAAGTTGTTATTGGAAGGGTAATGATGATTATAGCTGTTAAAGCACTTATGTGACAGGTACTGTGCTAGGGGCTTTAGGATGTCTTCATTTCAGGCACCACCGTTATCACCACTTTAGCGAAGAAGTAGAAGCTTTGAGAAATTAAATAATTTGCTGAAGGCCATACGCATAAGCAAATTATTTAAGCAGAGCTGAGATTAAACCTAGTTTGCTGCCATATCTAGGTGATAAGAAGAATCTTTCAGGATTGGTCAGGGTCACGTGACTTTAACTTACAGTGGTAAGAAGTTAACTGGTACCTCTTGATTGTTTTAAAAGAAGAAGGTTTGGGGGCGCCTGGGTGGCGCAGTCGGTTAAGCGTCCGACTTCAGCCAGGTCACGATCTCGCGGTCCGTGAGTTCGAGCCCCGCGTCGGGCTCTGGGCTGATGGCTCAGAGCCTGGAGCCTGTTTCCGATTCTGTGTCTCCCCCTCTCTCTACCCCTCCCCCGTTCATGCTCTGTCTCTCTCTGTCCCAAAAATAAATAAACGTTGAAAAAAAAATTTTTTAAAAGAAGGTTTGGAGTTCTTTCAAGTCAGGGAATGCCTCACTTCGTAAGGGAAAAAAAATCTGGTAACTACTAACACAATCAGTCTCGGTGGTGTGGTGATTCCTCACAGTGGAAGAGGAAAGGTGGTAAGGAATAGTCCTACAAAGCCTTTGAGAAGCCAAAGACCTAGGTTGCCGAAATACTTGGAACGAGGTACCCCTTAATAAATACTTGTTGGGTGAGAAGTGCCCTGGTCAGACTAGCCCAAACTTTGGTGTCAGAATTATGCTGGCTGGCTTCATAAAAGGAGTTGTACAATATTCCCTCCTCGTCTTTTTTGAAAGAAAATGGTGTGTCTGTATGAACACAATTTAGTCACAACCTAGGGATTACATAATGTATCCTTAGTATGTCACAGTGTCCTTGGAGTTGGTATTTATTAGCACACTGCATAAAGTGTAAGGCTTGTGACAGTGTAGGACTTTCATTCCCACATCCTTTGTGCTGCTGCTGTCCTACTCTGTCTGCTCACAAAATAAACTCGACAATCCAGTGTTATAATTCTTTGCTTTACATGGCCCTATTTCTTTCAAAGAAATCATAGAATATAATCTCTTATGTTTATCTAAATATTTTCCATTCATAGTATCCTTTGTTTTTCCTGTATATTAGAGTTTCTGTCTAGTGTCCTTTCCCTTCAGCCTGAAGAACTTCCTTTAGGTTTTCTTGTAGTCAGGGCTCCTGTAGATGGTTTTCTTTTATTTTGCCTTCATTTTTTTTTTTAATGTGTGTTTATTTTTTTTTATTTTTGAGACAGAGATGGAGTGTGAGCGGGGGGAGGGGCAGAGAGAGAGGGAGACACAGAATCCGAAGCAGACTCCAGGCTCTGAGCTGTGAGCACAGTGTCCGACGCAGGGCTCGAACCCGTGGACCGTGAGATCATGACCTGAGCTGAAGTCAGATGCTCAACCGACTGAGTCACCCAGGCGTCCCTATTTTGCCTTCATTTTTGAAGTATAGTTTGCTGATTGTGAAATTTCTGGGATGACATTTTCCTCCTTCTTTTCCAACTTTCACATTCTACTGTCTTAGGCTCTCCTTGTTTGTTGAAAAGTTAGTTAGCATGTATGTTGTTGCTTCCATTTATATAATGTGCCCTTTTCCTCTGGCTGCTTTTAAGATTTCTTGTTTTTCTTTTTTAGCAGTTTGTTTTGGTCATGTTATGCCTAGGTCCTAGTTTTCTTGATGTTAATTTTGCTGTGTGTCATTGGGCTTCTTGGATCGGTAGCTTTGTTTTTTCCAAATTGGAAAATTTGGGGCTGTTATTTCCTCACATTTTTTTCTGCTCCTTTCACTCTCATCCCCTTTTGGGACTAGAGTTGTAGGTTAGGTTGTTTGTACTGTTAACACAAGTCACCAAGTTCACTGACCCTTTCTTCTGCCACCTTTAACTGCTGTTTTGTTCACACGGAGGATTTCTGTTTAAAATACTGTACTTTTAGGGTGCTTGGGTGGTTCAGTCAGCTGAGCATCTGACTCTTGATTTCAGCTCACGTGATGATCCATGCTGATAGCGTGGAGCCTGCTTGAGATTCTCTCCCTCCCTCTCAAATAAATAAATAAACATTTATAAAATGTACTGTACTTTCAAGTTCTAGAATTTATGTTGGGTTCTTCAGTGGTTTCATAACAGAGTTTTCACCTGTATAATTCATTATGACCTTATTTTCCTGCAACTCAGCTCAGTGGTAAGACTAATACCGCTTATTTTGTCAGGTCTGGAAGCAGCAGTCCCTTGCTTATTTATTTTCTTTTATTTTTCCAGTAGGAAGTACTTTGCATTGAATATTTATGATCTTACAGTATCAGTGTGGATCCTCCTTATACATTAATGCAAAATTTCTTTTTCCTTTCATGACAGCAGGAAGGATTTTTTGGTAAGTTTTGTTAACTGCTGTCTATGGCAGAATTAGCAGGATCCTAGAACATTAGTCCAGCAACTATTTATTAAGTGTCCACTATGTGCTGAGCATTTTGCTGGAATGTAATGACGAACAGGACGGATATGACCTCTGGCCTTGTGGAGGTAATGGTGTTCTACCTAAACTATCTTTCCTAGCTGTAGATATACACAGTTTGACCTGTTTCTGTCTTTCATTTGATGAGAGACTCCTACTTCCTTTGTTAGAGGACAGAAGGTGACTTCTCAGGCTGTGAATTTTTAGAGGTAGATTTTTAAATTATTTTAAAGATACAAAGTCCATTGTTTCATTACAGCCCTCAAACATACATGGAATTTACCCACTAGAGCATGCTTATTTACAAAGTATTTCTCCAGAAAAGTAAATAAACAACTCACAGATTAACTGTACTAAGTAGATATTTCTAAAAAGTCTTCTGTAAGCTTCACTTAGTTGTTGTAAACCAGAGACCCTTCATTTTGAAAACTAACCTACTTGTGTAAGAAATCCTTCCAGAACAGTCTGCAGAGTGTCCATTCATTCTCTTGGTACATTTCTACAGTGAGCGGTGGTCTTTGGTCATTCCATTTGGGGACATTTCTATTCAGCATAATCAATACTGTCAAGGTCACACTCTGCACGTGTCCAAGAGCAGTGTTTACTTCTCAAAATTTGGAGTCTTTCCGGCAGACCAATTGTTAGCTAATAACCTGGGATTCTGAAAACTGTTTGGAGTTCTGTCCTTTCACCGTAAGTCATGACTTAGGGATTTAGAGATCATTTTCTAACTCCCCACCTAGGATACAGGTCTCTTCCACAGCCTGCTGATTCCAGCCCAGTCCTAGAACAAATAGCCTGCTGCTAAGAAAAGGGATGCTGTGTTTGATGAATGACTTGGGATTGCAAGACCTTAAATAAAGCAAACGATTTGAGGAGCGAGGCTAAGTGGAGTCTGAAAGGCCCAGGCAGACTGGGAGATGAGGAACGCCACAGAGTTGGTTTTAGCTCAGTCTAAATAAAGAGTCATTGGAATGGTAAATGAGAGCTTGGGCATACTGGTAAAACCAATTTCTCTGTGACCATGAGGGGAACCTTTAGACACGGTGGAACACTTGGAAGTAGTAATCAGTGGTCTATAAAAGATCCTCAGAAATCGCTTCCATAAAGCATTATGAAATTTCATAAGATTAGTTTGTCTTCTATACTAGTTTCTAGACTAGAAATAGGAAAAAAAATGTAAGAATGGTGTCTTTTTAACAGTTTTTAATCTGGATAATTTGAATTCTGGAGTTCTTTACAGACGTTCAATTTTACCTCTGTGTAGTATATATTTGTAATTCTTTGTGAGACCTGTAAATAACGTTGACTCGATTATGTTTTATCTGGTATTACAAATGATGAATGTGAGTTTGAGATCTAGGCTGTCCAAAAGGTTATATATAACTTTCAGGTGCATTCTGATAGAGTGCTGGATGGCAAGGGAGAGAATGCCACATGATATGCTCCTGGACAGACAGTCTGGATCTATTTTGACATTTTCCATAATGAAAAGCGAAAGATTGTTTTGGGATCCACGGGATACATGTATTAGAAATTGCACTGAAAAGATGAGGGCTGAGGTTTGGGATTTATAAGGCTTTAAGATTTTTAACAACTCTTCTGTGGTGCAACACACAATTAGTAATCAACGTCATCTTTCTACCAGTTAAGGGAAGGGCATTCTGCATTTCAATTCTCTGTAAAAACTGTAAAGTATATCATTTGGAAAGCAGAATGGAGCTGATCCAAGTTAATAAGCCATAGATGATGACTTCACACATGTCCTCTGGGCCAAGACATATAATTCAGTGACTCATTTTGGGAGTTGATGGCCCTTTATACTTACAAGTATGTGCTTGTGGGTCCAAGCCTAGAGGACTCTGCCATGATCCTCTCTATCATGAAGTCTTCTGCATAGACACTTGACTGCTCAGAGACTTGGGGAGTGGGGCTTATAATTATTTGAGTGGTTATGGACCCTTTTGAAAATATGATGAAAACTATAGGCATTTAGCAAAGTACCTGTTCACACTTTTCTTTCTTTCCTTTTTTTTTTTTAAACTAGGCTCCATGCCTAGTGTGTGGAGCACAACATAGGCTTGAACTCAGGACCCTGAGATTAAGACCTGAGCTAAAATCAAGAGTTGGATGCTTAACAACTGAGCCACACAGGTGCCCCGTGTATACTTTTTCAAGAGGGGTCCATGTTTATTTCTTCTTTTTTTAAATATAATTTATTGTCCAGTTGGCTAACATACAGTGTATATAGTGTGCTCTTGGGTTCGGGAGTAGATTCCCATGATTCATCACTTACATACAACACCCAGTGTTCATCCCAACAAGTGACCTCCTCACCTTCCCCCCATCAACCCTCAGTTTGTTCTCTGTATTTAAGAGTCTCTTACGGTTTGCCCCCTCTCTCTTTGAAACTATTTTTCCCCTTCCATTTCCCATGGTCTTCTGTTATCAACTTCCGCATATGAGTGAAAACATAGCGTATCTGTCTTTATCTGATGGACTTATTTTGCTTAGCATAATACCCTCCAGTTCCATCCACATTGTTGCAAATGGCCAGATTTCATTCTTTCTCATTGCCAAGTAGTATTCCATTGTATATATAAACCACATCTTTTTTATCCATTTATCAGTTGATGGACATTTAGGCTCTTTCCATAATTTGGCTATTTTTGTTTCCATGATTTTCCACTTTTGTTAAAAGTGCTGCCATAGACATTGGGGTACATGTGGCCCTGTGAATTAGCACTCCTGTATCCCTTGGGTAAATTCCTAGTAGTGCTATTGCTGGGTTGTAGGGTAGTTCTATTTTTAATTTTTTGAGGAACCTCCACCTGTTTTCCAGAGTGGCTGCACACTTGTATTCCCACCAACAGTGCAAGAGGGTTCCCATTTCTCCACGTCCTTGTCAACATCTCTTGTTTCCTGAGTTAACTTTAGCCACTCTGACCAGTGTGAGGTGGTATCTCAATGTGGTTTTGATTTGTAATTCCCTGATGATGAGTGATGTCGAGCATCTTTTCATGTGTCTGTTGGCCATCTGGATGTCTTCTTTGGAAAAGTGTTCATGTCTTCTGCCCATTTCCTCATTGGATTATTTGTTTTTCAGGTGTTAAGTTTGGTAAGTTCTTTATAGATTTTGGATACTAACCCTTTATCTGATAGGTCATTTGCAAATATCTTCTCCCATTCCGTTGGTTGCGTTTTAGTTTTGTTGGTTTCCTTTGCATTGCAGAAGCTTTTTATCTTGATGAGGTCCCAATAGTTCGTTTTTGCTTTTATTTCCCTTGCCTTTGGAGACATGTTGAGTAAGGAGTTGCTGTAGCTGAAGTCAAAGAGGTTGTTGTCTGTTTTCTCCTATAGGGTTTTGATTGGTTTCCTGTCTCACAGTTAAGTCTTTCATCCATTTTAAGTTTATTTTTGAATATGGTGTAAGAAAGTGGTTCAGTTTCATTCTTCTGCATGTTGCTCTACAGTTCTCCCAGCACCCTTTGCTAAAGAGACTTTTTCCCATTGGATGCTCTTTCCTGCTTTATCGAAGATTAGTTGGCCATACGTTTGTGGGCCCAGTTCTGGGTTCTCGGTTCTATTCCATTGGTCTATGTGTCTGTTTTTGTTCCAGTACCATAATGTCTTGATGTTTATAGATTTGCATTAACCTTGATTCCCAAACCAGATAGAGACCCCACTAAAAAGGAGAAAAACAGGCCAATATCCCTGATGGACACAGATGTAAAAATTCTTAACAAGATACTGGCAAATCGAATTCAACAGCATGTTAAAAGAATTATCAAGTGGGATTCATTCCTGGGCTGGTTTAATATTTGCAAATCAGTCAGTGCAATCCATCACATTAATAGAAGAGAAGAGAAGAACGGTATGATCCTGTCCATAGATGCAGAGAAGCATTTGACTAAATACAACATCCTTTCTTTAAAAACCCTCAAGAAAGTTGGGATAGAAGGAACATACCTTGGGGCACCTGGGTGGGTGGCTTAGTTAGGCTCAGATCATGATCTCACTGCTTGTGAGTTTGAGCCCCATGTCAGGCTCTGTGCCAACAGCTCAGAGCCTGCTTCTAATTCTGTGTCTCCTTCTCTCAAAAATAAATAAATATTAAAATGAAAAAAGAAAAAGAAGGAACATACCTTAACATCATAAAAGCCATAAATGAAAAGCCCACAGCTACTATCATCCTCAATGGGCAAAAACTAAGAGCTTTCCCCCTGAGATCAGGAACACGACAGAGATGTCCACTCTTACCACTGTTGTCTAACATAGTGTTGGAAGTCCTAGCATCAGCAATCAGACAACAAAATGAAATAAAAGGCATCCATATAGGCAAAGAAGTCAAACTTCCACTTTTTTGCAGATGACCTGATACTCTACGTGGAAAATCCAAAAGACCACCAAAAAGCTGCTAGAACTGATACATGAGTTCAGCAAAGTCACAGGATACAAAATCAATGTACAGAAATTTGTTGCATTTCTATGCTCTAATAATGAAGCAACAGAAAAAGAAATCAAGAAATCGATACCATTTACATTTGTTTCAAGAACCATAAAATACTTAGGAATAAACCTAACCAAAGAGGTAAAAGATCTGTATGCTGAAAACTATAGAAAATTTATGAAAGAAATTGAAGAAGACACAAAGAAATGGCAAAACATTCCATGCTCATGGATTAGAAGAACAAATATTGTTAAAATGTCAATACTACCCAAAGCAATCTACACATTCAATGCAATCCCAGTCAAAATAGCACTGGCATTCTTCTCACAGCTAGAACAATCCTAAAATTTGTATGGAACCACAAAGGACCCCGAATAGCCAAAGTAATCTTGAAAAAGAAAACCAAAGCTAGAGGCATCAGAGTCCCGGACTTTAGCCTCTAGTACAAAGCTGTAATCATCAAGATAGTATGGTATTGGCACGTTTATTTACTTCTTGAAGGCTGTCCTTCTAGGACTTGATGTCAGGTTAAACACCCATGCCCTAAAGTGAATCTCTGCTGTGGGAAAGTAACTCACTGGGTCCTGTGAGATACCTGTTTTACTCTGTTAAGGTGTTAACACTCTGACTCTATAATTCTTTGGGCATAAAACATTTCTAACTTTTCCTTAGCTGATATTCCCTTTGAACTGTTTTTTTCTTGGTCCTATTTTTGTTTTAAAGTCCTGTTGTTCACCTGTGTCATGTTATTTAAAAAAAAGTTTTTGTGAAATGTAACAAACGTATTGAAAGTTAATAAAACATAAACGCACACTTTAAAATTATATATTAAGGTGTAACTATCAACCAGGTCAAGAACTAGAATATTGGCCACCCTCCAGCAAGCCATCTAGCTTTCAAATCACAATCATCTATTTGGTAGAAGTAGCCAGTAACTTGACTGTAAGATAGCCCTTTCCTTGCTGTTCTTTACAATTTCACTGGCTATATACACCTAAAATATCTTACTGTTTTAAAAAATTTCTACAGGACACTTTTTGTTTGTTTCGCTTCTCTCAGTATTATGTTTGTGTGCCATCCATGTCATAGACACCTGTAGTTCA